GGAGAATTTTAACGTCTCTTTTGCGAGGAATGCTATTGGTATTGATTAGAGTTTCCGGAGAGAATTCGATGAACGAAAATTTGATTATTTCTGGAGTTGAATAATACTATTAAAAAAATTCAGGCGTTTTTTTGTTAGTTTTTTTAGATAATTAAAACAAAATAATAATAACAATTCATGCCCTCACTTGTATATATGAATAACCTTGTGTGTGTATGTTTGCTAATAGAAATTCACCCGGCACGTACAAAATTTTGTTTGCTTCGCGTGTGAAAAGAGAGCTTTGAAACTTAATTTTGTGACCCACTTCTAGGAAATCGTATTAAATCTTTGTGTAACGTACGTGCAGTATGAGATTTCAATTTTCCACTTGTTAGGATTCTCATCAACTCTTTTGTAACTAGCTTTTCGTGTCACAAGAAACAAAAATAAATAAATACTATTATGAAAATATCAATATATAACAAAAAAATCTATGATTTATGTATTAGGTGAATATACGCAGGTGCACGTCATTACTTAATCGACTCATGAGTCAAAATTTTTGTTTGAAAACCTATTCCGAATGTGATGTTCCGAGTTTAACTATAATCATTAGTACCATTTCCCCATATGCAAACGACAAAGGCGTTTTCGTGCTGTCCATACCAACACACAATACAAACGACATACATTTGTTGTTGCAAACAAGAATAACTATCTTTGGTAGAAATAATTTACGGCCACTGGTTTATTCATGGTCAGTCGAGCTTTTTATTTGTATCGTAGCTGCTACGTGAAGAGAATTGTGGTCACATTTTCGGGTCGATAGTTTATGTACAGGTATATGCAATTCCACAAATCGAGTGCCGTTGGCCCACTAATTGTAATTTTTGGACATTTTACGCTCAAGTGTTTGGCTCTGCAATAAAGTTGTGGTGCCGTTTGATTGAAAATGATTGTTCCAAGTGATTCATTCAATTTTTGATGGTCAAGTTAAAATTCAAACGTAAATAATTACATGCTTGATAATTAATTTTGCGCTCAAGTATTAATGAGTTCACGTCACTTAAAAATAACAAATAAAAAAAAAAACGCAACAAAATTAATAAAACAATTAATTTTAAATATTAAAATTTCATAGGTAAATAAATGATTCCAGGAAAGTTTTTGCGGTGTGTCCCCTGTGAGTATACGAGGGTCAATCACTTGAGACTCTACCTCTAATTTTCTTGGACGCCACAAACACCAAAAACCGTACAATATGTGCTCATGGTGTTCCCGCAGGCCATAAGTAACGGACACTGCATATGGCAGCACCCCCGTTTCAGCGGTACTTATCGTTAGTCCGCGGCTCATGTGGGTGTGGGTGTGTTTTTTTTCTCATCGCCAACGAAGACTCCCAGCAGCCGGTGATTAGATTATCCATCCCTTTCTCTCCCTCCCCACCGGCCGTACCGTTTTTTCCTTGCTCTCTCCGGTGACCCGGCCGTCCTCCCTCGGGTCCTTGGATTTTTGCTCGAGTCCAACCGTTTACTTTTTCTCTTGCTTTAATCTCCGCTTTTTTCAAGTTTACGGCAAACCGTACGAACAGGGTATAAACGGGAGTTCGAGGATTCACATATTTAATCGAGATCCCACCCCCTCTCTTTTGAGATCATCGACCCCAACGCGTAGTTTTTTTTTTTTTTTTTTTTTTTTTCTACCAAGTGAAAACAATCAACCGCAGAAAAGTGTGTAGCTTCGTTACAAGTCACGTCCTTACTCTTCATCGCTGTGGTACACCAGTGGGGAGGAAAAAAAAAAATTCATCCCTGCACCTTCTTCTCCGACCCTCTAGCTAACTAACTTACCGCTCGTTCAACTAACTGCCGCGGCAAGATACCTCCCGGGGGGGGGGGGCAGCTATTCCCTGCCCCGTAGGTGTGTATACGTATATAGAACCAAGTCCATTTGTCCGTTTAGCGCTCCGCTACGTGTCCACCGGTCTCTTACGTAAATCTAAGTCCACCCTTTCTGTAACATGTACCCGGTGGCCCACTGGTTAATCAAAGATACGTGGCTGGGACCGAGCTGGTGGACCAGGGATGTGCTTCAAACACATCGTATGGGCCGAAACTTTGGATTTCAAACAAATCTTCTACACTGTCATTGGGGCATTTGCAACATTGTTTTTTTTCAACTTTTATCCGTTGATTTGTCTTTCGGTGAGAAAAAAAATTAGCAAAGTGTGCTTGTTTTAATAAATTTTTCAACTTAGTCAAGTATAGTAATGTACTAAACGCACTTTGTGACTAACGGAAAGACACCGAATGTGTTATTTTTAGTATCTACTTCAAAGCGCCAAATATATTTACTTGCAAGCTTCGCTGGAACTGACCCTATATATACAATGGGAATGGAAGGTGTTTGCTCTGCGGCTAGTGCTCCTATAGTATATACTGTACGGCTGCTTTTGAATATTATCTGGGGAACCGAGGAGAACGAATTGCCCCGCAAGGAGCTGCTGTTGCAGAAAAGGTCACGGAGAAGAGGATGTGGGAAGGCGCGTCGGGGAGAATTTGGCTGATTTCTGGGGTTACCTGCACACACACCCATGTATATATTTATACGCTCGGCTTTCCTACCGGTGCTCCTATCGTACCTCAACCGCGTGCACACGTATACGTGATATACGAAGACGGATATAGCTTGGGAGAAAGATTTCTCTTTGAGATCAATTTTTACCCCCGGGTTGGGAACTGCTGCAAGTTTCACTCGTTCGGCATAGTATACGTGGATACCTCGAAATTGTGGACAAGTTTTTTTTTTTTTTTTTTTTTTTTTGTTGAAATGTCACAGCTAACGAAAAATTTACATCAACGAACATGTAGGTACAATACCAGTCATTCCTCAGATGTGTATATAGCAAATAGTAAATACGTTCTTACAGACAAGAACAATCGCCCATCTCACCTTCTGGGAGGAAAATTTACTGCCTTGGCAGTCAAACACCCGCCCCCCCCAAAAATCAATCGCCTCCACCATGCCGTACACGCGTCCGTATTAACCCTTTTTTTTTGCGCCCGCGCCAAATTTGCGTGCAATAACACGTCCGTCGGATTTATGCTCCCGAACATTTAGCCGGAAAACATGAATTTTCCCTTTGATTTTTTTTTTTTTTTTTTTTTTTTTATGGGACTCGCGATCGTCGTATAGAGCCAGTAAACACGGAAAGGCCGCGGGACACCGTAATGCCTGATTTATTGAGATGGAGCTCCGCTACACGCCATTTGCCAGTTTACTCTTATCTACGCGCCTCGGCTCCCCATTTGCGCTTCTCTGCAGTACATACATATAATATGTACACTCGGTGCTTGTTTATTTTTCATCATTTCTCTCTGTCTCGAGTCTATGCGTGGGCCGATAAATGTCGAGGAGGGTCCAAGGCAATTGATAACGCCAAAGGGGCAAAAAAATAAAGCACCTCGAGCTTTTTCATAAAAAAAAGCCATTGTATGGCCAAGCGAGAGCGGTAATCAGGCAAAGTTGTCTCTTGTATAAATGGAGTACATTACCGCTCCGATACCAGCGCGTCGCTCTTTATTTCACCTCCCGAGTAATTAAGCAGCCGGAGCTTTTTTTTTTAGCTGAAGAAAAAAAAAGAAGAGGGTGGACGGTAGTGGCGATCCAAGTCAAGTCGGGCGACATGCAAATCGACGCGAACTGGAGCAAAGTTTTCCGACGGAGGAAAAGACTTTTTGAAGGTCCGCTTCCTCGGACCGCTCACGGGCTGATGATTAGCAAAGTGTCGACAGGGAGGGAACTTTTGTTTCCCGTTGGGCGCTCGCGTTTTTTTTTTTTTTTTTAATTCAAGAGCCGCGAAAGTGGCTAATCGTCCCGGAAAATTTGACGGGCTCTGATTGATCGAGTCACCTCGGCCGTTGAAGTTTACGGAGAGAAGGAGGAGGATTAAACATTTCACGCTGCGCACACTCCCGTCCTTCTTTCCGACGTTTCTTATTCGCCGACTCCCTGGGGGTTTTTTTTTTTTTTTCCTTCTTGTGCCATATCACGAGAGACACCGCGGTGGAAAATGAAAGCGCTGCTGACGATTTTTCCCTCCCACGCGTGGCGTACGCGGTCCTTGGACTCCTCCGATGCAAAGCCAGAGGGAGGGAGAATGTGAGCTGGAGATGCTCGAGGTAACAACAACGGGACGTTTAATTAAATGCACGGGGACGCGTCGGGAGATGCGGGTTTTGTAATTCCGCGTAACGGAGGTAGACGTGGGCACTGCTTGGCGTGTTTTGTGTACATGGAAATCACCGTAGTGAAGAAGAGCGAAGAGGATCCCAGACAGTCCCCGAGTGGTGTGATCGATTGGATGACAAAATTTGTCAACTGTACGAGCGTGAATGTACATTTCGGGATTTCGTGCCATCAATAGGAGCTAACATGTACATACTCGATTGAACTTTTTAAAAGGAGCCGACTTTTTCGTTTACTTTCCTGTAAGTGCCGTCAATCTGAGCAACCTTTGCAAGAGTGTATGTTAAAATCTTGGGTTTTAGGCGAATAGTATAATACCTAGTAGAGACGAACAAGATAATTCTTTGTTTTTCGAGAACATAACTTTCTCTGAGTACGAGGAATTTACTACTCAAATGATCCTAGTGGTTTACACAAACTAGAGCTTAGAGAGTTTGCCGACTTGGAAGTTTCGAGCGTAAAGATAATACAATATTCCAAGATTTTCCCATTTTTCCGTGCAAACTAGTGTATAGAAAATAAAAATGAAATTCTATATGTACAAATCCTTCTTGGAGATGATGGTCTGAATTTTGTGGAAGGAAAATAAAAAAAAAAAAAAAACTTTGTAACATAGAGAGATGTACGTATGTTGGAATAGAGTCGAAAACCCAACATTTGATAAATCGGTGGCGAGGCATAAATCGGCAACGGATTAAACGAGATCGCCGCGTTGGCAATGATTCGTGAAAAGCCTATGCATATACCTTTTCCGTTCTCCTCTGTTTCAGCACAAACGCCACCACTACATGACGGTGCACCGGCACGAGCCCGCGAGCACACTGACGGACTATGCAGGCACCACCAGCCCACCGCAGAACGGACGGGGCGGTCCCGGGCTCCCAGCTTCGTCCGCTGAATTTGACGATTACTTGGACCACGGTAAGTTCCCCGCTTTTTGGCTTAAACGGAAAAGCACCCGTGGAGGTCCATTTAACGGATCAAATGTTTTGTAATTTATTAATTGAACTTTGCGACACGGCGCTTGGCCGTTTGACACCGATCCACCCGTGAAATTCAAAATTATACCCACACCGGGGTCGGGCTCGCTCACACCTAAGTACGTGGTACGACAAATTTTTTATCGGGGATGAATTTCAAAATGTGGGCGCGCGTGTATCGTAAAATGCGAGTGATCGTTTCGCGAGTAGCGACAACGGACATTTTGATCAGTGGATCGTCCCTCGCGTCCCTCCTCGGTAACGATTTCGCCCATGTCTCGTTCGAAAGACGCGCGTGGATGCAATTTCCTCTCATGTACTCATCTCCGAGGATAGGAGGGGAAGGAAAAAAGAGCTCCGGAAAAGGATGCCGCTCGTTTCGAACGCAAAAGTTTAGCCGATTCTCGAGGAAAACTCGAATGACGGAGCGGAGGAGCCGGCTCGGTGTCGTCGATACGACCCTCCCTCGTCTCCATATATACAAACGCAGCAGCTCGGACGACAGCACAGAGCGAAAATCGCGAATTCAATATCTAACTTCCAGGATTAGCATAGAGATCGAACTTTTTCTCCCCCCCCCTCCTCCCCCCTACCACCCAGTGGTGGTTCGTGCATATTTTCCCTCTCCTTCGGGTATGTGTACACGAATCATCGGCGTTTCGCCAACGAAAATACATCCCCTCGGCCCCTCCTTGCGCTTATAAAAGGCTACCGATCAATTTTTCCATTTCCGCCAATCCACAATAGATACCGCTAAGTTCGTCCCTACACCTCCCTCCCCCTGGGGGAGAAAACGAGCTTGTTTTTTTTTTGTTTCCCCATATAGCTGGAGAGCTTTCGTGGAATACGTCTGACTTATGTACACGCATACGAGAGAGCTCGATCCGAGGCTGCTCCGGAAAAGTATATACGTATATTATCGTGTGCGGATGAGTCTCGCGATTGATGGAAACTCACGGGTTTTCACTTGCAACGGAATTGGGGCAGCTCGTGTGCGATTCTAATGATTCTCAAGCTACCGGATACACTGATTTTCCGCAAACGCCAATCTTACTTTGATCAACGGAGCGACGTGGTGCAATTGTCACAACGCCATCGTGAAGCTCCGCCGTGGACACGAGGGATTCGTCATTCCATCCCCGACAATTGGTCGTACAATGTATAATGTATACGCGTGTATATAATGACTGGCGCGTCCGATTGTTTGAAAGGCGAATGATTGTATTATAGAGGCAAGTAAAATATCATTCAAGTTTTTACATGGTGGCGTACAGCGAGTTACAATACTGTAGGTGTACGTGGTATCTAGTGCTTGTCGATGTATATACCTGTAATATGTCCGTGACGTTTTGCCTGATGTACATAGAATTGGGTGAATTTGGCAGATCAACGCGAGTTCGGAGGGTTTTGGAGAGCATCATTTCAGCTATACATTTTCGTCTAATCCCTCGAGTAAATGTGCATGTGTGCCGATAACCGGTGGTATTTAATTTTTTTTTAATTTTTGTTCTTTTTTCAGCAGATCCGTGCGAAGGCAAGTATTGCGGGGCGGGTCGTGAATGCCAGGCTTCGGAGGACGGCAGCGTCGGCATCTGCGTATGTGCGACACGTTGCACCAGAAGGCACCGGCCCGTTTGCGGCAGCGACGGCAAAGTTTACGCTAATCACTGCGAACTTCATCGGGCCGCCTGCAACCTCGACAGACCCCTCACGGCGAGCCGGCTCATGCGCTGCTTGCACCGGGGTGAATTATTACTACTATTCTTTTGCTCTAAAAGTATTCTCACTATATATAGGTCAGTTTGGGTGTACACGATATCTTTTTTCTTTCTTATATTTCGTGTTGTAAATGATTGACAAAATTTTAAGAAAAATATAAACTAAAATGTTTTTCCTTCGAGCCGGATTTGAACCAGCGACCTATGGATTTCCGATATTTTCAATTCAGATCGACCGACTACAGTCCACCGCTCTACCAACTGAGCTATCGAAGGCTGTTACTTAAGAGAGCTTAAAAGCCACAAGAGTTGAAATCTTGCTTTCATCATCAACCGGATCACGATCACTTTCAAAAATAATCTCAATACCAGCTGCTTTTACATCTCTTTGGCAAGAGAGTTCTCCAAAGTACCGATCTTTTTTTCACGCAACATCTTTACAGTATCGCCAAAGTGCTTCATTTTTTTTATGCTTTTGACGAATTTTAATTTCACTGTAAGCGTGGTATGACCTTTGACACGTATTATCTACTTTGGCGAGCGTATATATAGCATCCTCCGCTACTAAATCAAACCAAAAAAATCATTTATCTATATAATACAAATGAATGGCATTATCTGCATGTGTCTCGTAACGTGTCGACCGTTACAATAATCTGACAAAATAATGAAGAAAAAAAGGCGTCACGATGAGTGAACGCGCCTCTTTCTCGCGTTGAACTTGCGGTGAAAGTACGAATACTTGTACAGTCTTTCAAGACGTTGTGGCTTCGAGGCAGAGGTACATTGTACAAAAAAGTTATACGACTAACAGCCTTCGATAGCTCAGTTGGTAGAGCGGTGGACTGTAGTCGGTTGATCGAATAAATAAGTCAGAAATCCATAGGTCGCTGGTTCAAATCCGGCTCGAAGGAAATATATTTTTTCTTATTTTTCCCATCACAAACTTTCTTTCTTTCTTTTTTTTTTTTCATTATTTTCCATGTACCATTAAAATTTTCGATATGATTCAACTGCATCCCTTTATTAATAATATTATCGTCATAGTCAGAATTACAACTTATTCGTACAGCGAGAGATTCACGGAATGAACGAACATAATCGATCATCATGAGGCCCCGCACTTGAGCGTACCGGTACCGATAATATTATAGAGTATATACACCATAAATTCACCATGTGCATTATATACATAGCTGAAATATCGAGTATCGCGAAGCTATATTACACGGATGCTCCTAAGGAAGACACATGAGCGTATAATGCCGTACACTCGCTCATAATACGCATATGGGCTTATACCCGTACAGAGAGTGAAAATCAATAGCGCAACAAAACTCTCGTATCCCCGTCTATATGTATATACCTACACATTGTTCCGTGTGTAATCTACCCACACGTATAACGTACGTGTACCAGACTCGTGCATAAATAAACCCTTTGCACTCTAATTATTTGCCGATACGCTCTATATTTAGATGTAGGAGTTCACATTGGGATCAGAGAAAGAGAGGGTGAATAAGCTATACGAAGCCCATAGCAAACTTGGTATTGTTTTTCTATTATCACCACTTTATATATTACATGGTAAATGAAGCTCGGATATCAGCGACTCGTGAAATAACGCGATAGACGTGTAACATTTGTTTACACGATTATTGCGATCAATACTTTGCTCTCTGCAGGTATCTATATATATACTGTTGGACGACCATTAAAATGCGTCTCATGTTCTATAAGTACGTAGTGAATGTAAAGTACACGAAGCGCGGAAAAATATACTTACCTCCATACCTGTGAGTCGCTGCTCGCGACACTTTATATCTACTAGGAAAAAAAAAAAAAAAAAGCGAGCAACGAGAATAAGCTATGGAGGAGGGAGTAAAAGTTGATGTATAAGTCCCTGCAACTCCAAAGTGTGTACGTGGGTGTACCCGCGCAACTTTGGACGTCGGAGTAGATTACTCCGTGACTCGAGGAATTTGAAGGGACGCGTGGGTGAGGTTACGTATATAGGTAAAAGGCAGGAACGATGCCATTACGAAAAGTTTTTCTGGCAAAGTAGCTTTTTGTTCCTTGGCGTTGCGCGTACAAATACATATGTATGCACGTATGAGGGATGAGGGGCCGAGAGGGACGCGAGAAATTTGAAGAAACCTCGGAAATTATTTTCCTCCCCTTGCATCGAGTGCCACCCCCCCCCCCCCTCTTCCGGGGATTTGACGCGAAACGCCTGCTCACGCCACATGCACTTTATTTCGCGAAGCTTCGTTATTACTATTCTTTTTTATACTTACTCGTGGTATGTATAGGTGCACTGGGTTTTCTCTTAGTTATCGCTGCAACCGCAACTCATTGTATCAAAATCAATAAAAAAATTATGTTTAAAATAACAAATTTGATCCAGTGACCTTTGGATTTCTGAAATTGCAATGCAGATGAACCGGCTACAGTTAATGTATAAGTGGGTTCATTTATCATATTTGCTCTGGCATTCTCTTGGGATGCGGCAACTACGTCCAAAGACGCGAGCTCCACTTATCTCCTATACTATACTTGTAAAAAAGTGCCATTGGTATGTATAGGGACGCGACTAGAGAGTGCACTCGGCCGTGCAATTCGGAGGAGGTAATTCGATACCGTCGATGATTATTAAAGCGATGGATCCCCCGGCGTGTATGTAATACATACGAGCGCGTCTGCGGAAAGTGCAGTTCCGAATATAGCGTGTGGGACACGGGTATCCTCTGGTGGGAGGCTTTAAAAGGCACGCGCGTAGCTTTGACGTCGCGCCCGCGTTGATGCACATACGTCGTCGTCGTCGACACCGTGTACGTATACATAGGTATATATTTATACGCATAGAGAGAGAGAGAGAGAGCACTAATGGCGAAGTTTAAATTGCGTTTCAAGCCCTCAATTAACACCTTTAATCGCGAAAGCGAGCGAGAGAAGGACAGCTTTTTTTTTTCTCTTTTAGCGCGCTCTACGTGTCGTCTATTACCAAATGATATGATTATCGAGCTCCATTTGGTTTCTTTTTTCGTACCCGTCTCTCTTGCATTTATATGTATTTCCGCGTCGATGTACCTCTGTTGCTATGTTTGGAAAAATTTTCGTTTTTTTTTTTTTTTACTATTTGGTACAGGAGAAACAAATAGTTGTTTTTTTTTCTGTTTCGCCAGGAAAATTTTGTATTGAAGGTTTGCTTGCTACTGCCACTATTAAGGATTCCGGCAAATTGCTGGTTGGAAAATAACTTTGATAACTGTCGATATTTCGTTTGGGTATTGAAAAAAAAAAACTAGAGAGTCAGAAGCGCACGCAAAAGTTATGTTTGAAACATCAGCTGTGTGAAGATACGATTGAAAATTTTGTTCTGGTTGATTTTGATTGGAAGATAAAACGAAAGGTTTGAAAATAAAAAGTATACGAGCCATCGGAAGCGAAGCTGTGATTTTCAAAAATCCACCAGAACAACCAAACAACCAGCAACCTATGGATTTTTATTGTTGAATCTTCCACTCTGGTTGAGAAAGTAAAATCATAGATAAGTTAACACATATATTTGCGAAAAAGAATTATCGTTTCGAGAATTACGGTTCTTTTTTTTTTTCTTGCATAAACAAGTGCTTGTGGTTCTATCATGAAAAAAAAAAAAAAATTGAAAACATCCGCTCACGAGAGAATAGTACATTACTTGACCCTAAATATATCAATCACCCCCCCCCCCTAAGCTCAAACAACAATTTGTTCGTAATACATCGTGCTCTAGCAGAGAAGCACAATTATTTGCCTACGATGCGATATGCGATACACACATGTGTGTGCATGTATTCAAAACAAATAGTCCCGGAATGATACAAAGAGCCAATTATTGCAGATTTCGGGCTGCTGCTTCTGTGTACTTAAGTATGCCTATATACATGTGCATTCACTGGACTTGTAACCCGCATTGTAAAGTACAACAATGATCGTATCTATGGAAGCACACCGGTGCAGAATGCATGGAGATAGAGATGAGAAAACACGTATGGGAATAGGAGGCGATATCAATGCCATACGGCTCCGTTTCGGTAATCGCGTCACGCCAACCGGACGATAATTAGGATAAGAGGCTTATATATATACGGCTCGAGTATTGAAGCAACGCCTTCTCTCTCTCTCTCTCTCTCTCTCTCTGAGTGTTCTTGATATTATGTTAACGGATCGGGCACTAGTGCTGTTGTTATTGTACGACCTACAGAGGATAGGACAGATGGGGGTGAAGTATCGTCGACACCAAAACATAAGCCATTGATGCAGTGCACACGTGTACTAGTATTTTTAACAATCATTTGATTGTTTGTAAACGTGTGCCTGATGCTACTTTTGGGACAATTCTTTTTTTATCATGTTACCTCGGTTATATGTGCTTTTCAGATGATTTTTAATAATTTTTTAAATTAAAAATATACAAGCAGAGGCATTATTTTTTGATTGTACCGGTGGTACGAGTATATATATATATTATAATCTGTTGTAATTTAACTAAAACTTCTTTCTTTTTTTCTACGTTTGCTATACAGAGTGTCGGAAAATAATGATAAAAAGCTTGGATGTAACAACAAGGCTTAACATTATGATTAAAATAAAATTTTGTAAGATTAATCGTGCTGTTCCTACTGTGTACACCTAACGACTTACATCGAAGTCTTTGCCGATGAAGCTCCCTTGCAAAACAAATGTGTTGTTTTTTGTTCCAGATGACCAAAATCATGAGACACCGAAAGTTTTGCCACTCGGGAATGCGACACCAGCCACGCCGAAACAGGTCAACCGTCAAAGCAGCCAAGACGACAGCAAAGAAAATTCCGTCGACGACGGAAGCTACGGCGCAAACAAGTGCACACCCCAAGAATACGAAATTATGAAGGTACTATGTAAAAAAAAAAAAAAAAAAAAAAAGAAAGCCACTACCAGAACTTGTGGTGATAATAAGAAAAATGACCTAAAAATGATGTTACACTCAGGACAACCTATTGCTGTACAACCACGAGCGACTGATGGCCAAGGACAACCACAGCAAGGAGTACCTGGTGAGCATAATGTTCTCGCACTACGATGAGAATAACGACGGGAATCTCGAGGGCGAGGAGCTGGAGCAAGTAGCCGAGCGCGAGGACCTCCGACGGCTGAGCAAAAAGTGCTCGCTCCGCCACATGATAGCTTACGACGATGCCGATCGCGACGGTCGGCTCAACGTCAACGAGTTTTACATGGCTTTCAGCAAACTCTACAGTGAGTGTCTCATTTTTTTTTTTTCCCCCTCCCCCACGACCCACTCGCAATAAAATACTATACAACACCCCGCGGCCCAAGGTGTGCTTGTAGTCTCGCTGGACAAGAACCTCGAGGTCAATCACATTCCGGCGCGGGTGGGCGACAACGTCGAGATAAAGTGCGACGTGACGGGTACACCGCCTCCACCCCTCGTCTGGCGGCGCTACGGCTACGATCTCGAAGCCCTCTCCGAGCCCGAGGTGCGAGCCTTTTGTTTTTCTCACCTTACCCGCGACCATCAATGTATACCTGAAACGAGTTGTCCGTTAAACGGATTTTCAGGTACGGATTTTCAACGACGGCAGCCTGTACCTGACGAGGGTCCAGCTCGTCCACGCCGGCAATTACACCTGCCGCGCTCTTAACAACAAGGACGTCATCCAGACCCACGTGCTCACTGTGCACAGTAAGTGCTCCTTATGCTCGTGTCCACTTTGTCTCGGGATGCCATGATTTTGTTGAAGTACAATACGCACGTGGTACGCAGCGATACCGGAGGTGCGAGTGACGCCGCGTCTGCAGTCCAAGCGGCCGGGGGAGGAGGCCTCGATGCGCTGCCACGTGGTCGGGGAGCCTCTGCCGCGAGTCGAGTGGCTGAAGAACGACGAGCCGCTGCGCGAACAGCGTGCCGATGACAAGTACGAGGTGGTGGGCAACGGGACCAGTCTGGCGATTCGGGACATCAACTACGCCGACACCGGGGCCTACATGTGCCAAGCGACCAGCGTCGGGGGCGTCACGCGGGACATTAGCAGCTTGGTCGTCCAGGAGCAGCCCACGCCGAGTGAGTCGTTTTGCTCTACACGTGGCTGTTTTAACTCATCTTTTTAGGATTCGTACGTTAATTTAAAAAAAAAAAAAAGAGAGAGAGAGAGCGTTATCACGATGAGTGAACGGGTGGCCATCGATCGAATTACGAGGTACGAATAAATCAATGGCTAATGGAATTTTGGTTAAACAGCGGGTCGCGGAGGCAGAGAATATACACTTTTGGGCTTTTAAGTTTATTATTTGGTTGTTCGCTGCGCGAGCTTTTGGAAGCTTTTGTGGTGTGTAAATGTGTAGCAAAGGGAAATGGGTTTTTTTTTTTTTTTTCAACTCGATTATCGGTACGACCTACGACGTGACTTTCCCAAAGTGTCCTATAGGAGTTGTGTGTGTGGTTTGGATTCTTTTTTTTTTTTTTTTTTTTTTTTTTTTTTTTTTTTTTTTTTTTTTTTTTNAGCCGATTCCACCCCCGTTACTCATACGAGAGAGCCGATGCATGGAGGATTTTTTCTCGAGAACATCGGCTCACGTGTGGTGATGGTTACGTTAAATAAATCAGGTTTTCCGAGCTCACCCAAACAGGGCATTCATTCAAAGTCCACCCCTGATCCCCTGTCACTCTTTATCGGAAGTATTGGCCGAGTACATCAGAGAACGGTACATACATGTCCAATGGGGCTCTCCTCTCGCGAGCGAGTGCGTACGGAAGTAACATCTAGGCCATTTTCAATGAAAGCACATCGGAATGACGTTCGAACACTAAAGTGCGCATCACAGGCTGCGGGATATGGAGCGTTGTGGAACCAACGAAATGGGGCTGTTTTTTTATGTTATAGTAAAAACAGTATGCGGATGAGCTGACAAAGAAAAAAAAAAGAAAGAAAAAGAAAAATTCTCCGTCAGCAGCCAAGACTGGAGAAACAGAGTCGGCTCTTAATGCGCTCAGTGCGACAAAAGTGGTCAAAAAGTAGCTAAAAAGCCTCCCTCGTGGAGTACGTGTAGGTACAAGTACAGCCAAGAGCGAAAGAGCAGCGGGAGAAGGTGCTCGAGAAAAATCGCGCCAAGTGGCTACAAGTTTGTCGCGCGCGAAAAGGAAGAGAGCGATTTACGGGGCGCATTACGCTAATCGAGACGCTGGTATGTAGGTATGATGTATGTACATACCCGCGTAAGGTAGAGCGACGGGGATCGAGAGGAAAAAAAAAAAAAAAAAAAAAATTGGGGTTGGTACATTCGACGCAGAGAGCTTGTGTAGATTGTCTATGTTAACCATCCCCCAACAACGGTTTTTACATGCGTACGATTGGTCGTTTGTTTAAACAGCAGCACCGAGCGAGGAGCGAAGGTTCTTCTCGTTTCACGAGTGGGGCATTTCGGTGTACGAGCCGTCGGCCTGTCGATTGTACCATCAAATCAAGTCTACCGACATTATACCGGGGACTCAGGTAAACAGCGTCCCTATTTTTTTTTTATCGTATTCCACGTATATATATACACTTCTTTGCAATTATGCAAATTGCGGAATTTGCGAGAAAAAAAAAAGTGCAGCTGAGGTAATTTTTCGTAATTGAACGCAATCATCTCCGAGCCCCATTGTGCGATACAGCGGGGGTCGAGATTAGCGGCAGTTATTATACGGTGCACACTTGGCATTATTTTTTTTCTCTCGCAATTTTCGAAAGTGAAAAACTCACGTACTTATTCCAAGTATTTTTTCAACAGGAGTACGTTTGCGTCGAGGAGGGAGTGCCTTGTTCGTGGGGCCGCGCGATAAACGTGGCCAATCGCTACGTCTACGTGTCCCAGCCGCTGAAGGACCGCATCCTCGTCATCAGCAAAATTCAGATGGTCGTTGTCGACGTGAGTGTACACTTGTATGATCCCATAATCAAATATAACGAGCACAAGTACAACGTGGCAATTTTATGTTGACTTTACGTTGCCCTGCTATTACCGATTTTACGTTAAACAATAATTTTTATCTTGGATGCTGGTGATTGTTCAAAAGTACACGTAGATCGACGCACCGGATAATATATAATAGGGTGAGGGTGAAAAAAACGAAATTCTGTCGACAGGTGGTGACAACGGACAAATACCCGGTGGAGCTGCAGTACGTGCCAGCGTTGGACCAAGTCTGGGTCCTCAATTGGCGCAGCGAGACGGACATGGGGGTGAAGACGATACAGGTGATCAGGGACGCGGCGCAGAAGAAGAAACACAGGACCGTCCACCCGGAACCGATCGACGGACAGTTTGATCTCGTGCGCGGCCTCTACATCCCGGAACGTCAGGTAAATAACAATTTACCCAACGACTTATGTTCAATAACAATTTCACTGTAATGCTTCTGCCACTTCTCGATCAAAGGCACGTGGCAGCCAATAAAAATGTAAAAGCGGGGCAAACATTTTATTTGATCCGTGAAGCCGGCACGCGTCCATACGTGTGATGTTTAAATTGCAATTTTTTTTTTCCCCTCCCCAACACTTTTTTCTCCGTCGAACCGATCCGAGGATAAAAGAACAAGCTCGGCAAATTCGAGTAAAAACGCTGCCCGTGTACGCGTCCGAATAACATATACTGATGCACACGAATCCGCGTCTCGTTTTCGCGTGATTCCACTTGCTTCGCAAATAAAAAAAAAAAAAAAAAAAAAAAAAAAAAAAAAAAAAAAGNAAATTTTTTTTGTCCAAAAAACTTTTTACGGTAACATAATAATGTAAAAAAAAAAAAAAAAAGATACAGCGTGTTCAAATGGGGGGGGGGAAGGTCAATACATATTCGATTAACGTTTGGATTGATTGGGCGTTCGTAGGACATCGGTCACGTGTTCAAGTACGGGTACGTGACGCACACGAATCAACGGGGTATGTACAAGCTCGACTTGGCGAACATGAGGTACAAGACCAGCCCCGATCTCGCCCCCTACAACTGCGTGCCTGTCAACGTCGTGTTCCCGGCATTGTGTGAGTATACATTTGTACATCTGTACAATACACGCATATACCCTATATACATCGATGTGCTTGTGCTTCCCTATATATACATATTACATACACGTGTACCATATACACATTTATGGATGCGAGAGGGCGAGGATTTAGTTTGTGGCTAATTAACGTCGGGCACGAGCATTACCTGCGTCGCAGATGAGCGGGACGACATAATCATCGGGAATCCACGTGCGTAGGATCGGGTTGTTTTAGCATGCGCGTTTTACATATCTATTCGTACGCCTATTCTATACAAATTTAACCAACACCCCTGAAAACTCGAATTCTAAATGTATTCTAAAGATGAAGATTCGTGCGTCATAGTAATATATTTTTACCGAACCAGAGATCAACCGGTCTTTTTTTTACGCAACAATTATCGGTAGAAGCAAAGTATAAGTATACGGGGGGAGGCACATTGTTATTCTTGAAAGACAATCGGGGTCAGGCGGAGACTCGCACACAGAGAGCCGTCACCCATGGGCGTGCGAGTTCGCAAACAGGACCAAAGTGGAGGGAAGGGGGAGAAAGAGGCCGATGTACTTATATGGCGAGCGTGTCCGGACAACTTTTCGGGGCTGGTTGGCTGGAACCCGTGCCAAACTACTTCCTGCTCGAGTTCGGCATAACCGAGTTTCCTCCCCCGTCACCCCCACGAAATGTGTATTGGACGCTCGAACGGCCGGTTGGTCAGGAGACCGGCAACCAGTTAACCGATCCCAGATGTTGTCCAGATTCATGTGTCTTTCTTCCCACCGGAAATAAAAAAGATTGTAGCCGTTTTTTTTTTTTTTTTTCTGTTATGTACCAGAGGTGGAAAAAGTTTCGGGAAATCGGTACGGGGGCAGACGTAGACCCGTTTTCTTGGGAATTAAAAAAAAACGCATAGTTGGTAAAACTCCCTCTCCAGTTGATTACAGAAGCGTGAGGATTTACGTATAATATATATTCCTTAATGATCCTTGTTTTTTCCACTCCATCGCGTCGCAGATGGCTTCGTGATCCTCCAGTGCGAGGAGCCAATAACCGGTCGAGCCACCGGCCAATTACTGCTGGATTACCTCACGGACACTGTGTTGGAGCACAAACCCGAGCTGGTGGGCAAGCCGATGGTCTCGCCCGACTCGCGGCACCTCGTCACCCTCGACAGGCGCCAGAACGGCGTCGTACTCATCGTCGAGGAGATATTACGTGAGTATATACATACCTCCCGCCCTGCGAGTGGATTTTTCATTGAGTTTACCCACTTGTTTTGCTTTTGCGTGTACGCAGCGACCGGATTAAACTTTGCGTTTGACGTCAAGACTACTCTGAACATCAGCGACATCACGTTCTATCCGTCCCAGACGGCCCACGGCTACGACCTCTACGCCTCGTCGATGGATAACAAGGAGGACATACTCTTCCTCAACTTGGCATCAGGTATGTATACTTGATATTTCCATCCTGTACCGATTAAATCACCGATAAGTCGACATGATATAGTCAATTTGAATTATTCCTGTTTGGCGGATGAAATATCATACAAAAGTGAATAATGGTTAATCCTCGTGACAGGCAAAGTGGAAATGATAACGGGCGTTGGCAAGGCGATGCCGGTGAGCTACGCAAAGTGGGGCAACCCGAACAGGCCGATAGTCCAGAGCGGAGTGTTTGGCCGGTACATGGTCAGTCCGTCGAACGAGGCCCTGTTTGTCCTTAACGGCGAGACGCGCACCGTCAACTGCGAGATCGGCGGCCTCGTGCGACCGGGCATGGTCGTGTGGTTCACCGTACCCACGCACTAAAAACTATTATTATCACCATGACTGGCCGGTGTACAATACATGTTGTTGGAATTTGTCCAACGTTTTTAACGATTGTGCTTTTCACTGCGTCGATGGATAAGGTGAATTCAATTTTTTTTTGGTTTTTTTTTTTTTTTAGGATAAAAAAGAGTTGATGATCGACGCGGCGTTAGCGATCTTATTATTATCATCCGGCTTTTCGTGGCGCGACAACTGATGGTAGGTTTACATCCGAAAATAATTGTATTTGGTTTTATGTGTTACTGTTTACCAACGTGTTTTATATGGTTTACTCGTTGATTAAACTTTTTCACGAAAAAAAAAAAAAAAAAAAATTGGGGTTGGTACATTCGACGCAGAGAGCTTGTGTAGATTGTCTATGTTAACCATCCCCCAACAACGGTTTTTACATGCGTACGATTGGTCGTTTGTTTAAACAGCAGCACCGAGCGAGGAGCGAAGGTTCTTCTCGTTTCACGAGTGGGGCATTTCGGTGTACGAGCCGTCGGCCTGTCGATTGTACCATCAAATCAAGTCTACCGACATTATACCGGGGACTCAGGTAAACAGCGTCCCTATTTTTTTTTTATCGTATTCCACGTATATATATACACTTCTTTGCAATTATGCAAATTGCGGAATTTGCGAGAAAAAAAAAAGTGCAGCTGAGGTAATTTTTCGTAATTGAACGCAATCATCTCCGAGCCCCATTGTGCGATACAGCGGGGGTCGAGATTAGCGGCAGTTATTATACGGTGCACACTTGGCATTATTTTTTTTCTCTCGCAATTTTCGAAAGTGAAAAACTCACGTACTTATTCCAAGTATTTTTTCAACAGGAGTACGTTTGCGTCGAGGAGGGAGTGCCTTGTTCGTGGGGCCGCGCGATAAACGTGGCCAATNATAAATATATTTTTTAATATTGGTTGAGAATTGACGAGAAAACGAAAGATAAAATACGATTGTTTTATTGAAATAAATTTTAAATTGAGAAATAAGAGAAGTTTTGTATTTGCTTGTAAAGAACGTTTATTGAAGCGATCGTTGGACGATGAGAAAAAAATTAAGAGTAAAAAATAAGTAAAAACATTGAGAGAGACGAGGAAAACGAGTCTCACGGGTATCTTGGGATGCTGCGACGATCCATCGTTGATAAGACTATATGAAAAAAACTTTGATAAAATAAGAAAGAAAAAAAAATAATAAAAACATTTAATGTATACTGTATCGTTAAGAATGGCAAATTTAAGCTTAACTCTTTGAATCTCATGAGGATAATATCTAAAGAAGAGGATATAACGTGAAATAGTAACGATCTGAAGGTAATACCTATAAACCGAGATTCGAAGAAAAATTGATAAACAAAAATTTAATACCGGCTAGCTTTAGCAGAGTGTACAGAAGCAAAGAGTTATTTTGTTAATGTTGCGATCCATATCGAGGATGCGTAATAAGACGATGATTACTTGTAAAAGTTTTTAAAGATAGAAAAAAAAATAATAAAACAAAGTCTGATCACGCGGTAAGTCTCACTAGAGTCCTAGAGATTTCCCGGTCGGTCTTTAAAACTCAAAGGAATTTTCATCGCAACTCTGTCTTTTTTTTTCTTTATCAAGCGTAGACGAACAAAATTAACAATGTTTCGCAATAGAAGGTTCTTTTCTTTTTTTTTCTCAAATAGTTTGACGCATCAGATTAAAATACATCAATGTGTTTTTTTAATTTGTTTCATTAAGTAAATTTATATATATATTTATAAAGGGAAGACTAATGAACGTGATTGTAAGGCACTTAACTAGGCACCAAGTCAGAAAATAAATAAAGCTTGTCATAGGTAAAGTTGCGATTTGACTCAAAGTCTCAACTTCATCTTGAAACAAACGTTGTATTGGCTCATCAGGTATGACTTGATAGAGAGATATACATATATAATTTAAGTTTGTAAATTCAATTTAATGTACGTATTTGTGGCTAGTCATTTTTCCTTATAAAAAATAAAATAAAAAGTTGTAGCTTTCTATTATTTGTAAAACGATAAGATTAATAATTTAACCAATGTTCAGTATTAATCATTCATTTGTAGAAATTGTTGCTCCTACTACCCACTGTATTGTAAATAAAGAAATGTATCTAAAAAATTCATTTTATTGCCATTCATTTATAGGGCTATTCATGATTTAATTCAAAAAAATCAAAGTGCTACAATATTTTAATTATTAAGCAATTATACGCTAGAGTTAACAAAAAAAAGAAAAAAAAAATTGATACGCGACATCAACTATCCAACATCTTACGTCCAGCAAGAAAATTAGGTAATCACTTATGTGGTACGACATAATATTTTCCCTGTAACTTTGAGTTGGATATTTATTTTACTGAGCAATCAAGTACCATCGTTAACAGTAAGCTTCAATATTTGCTCTTGGCGTGCTAATTTGAAATGAGTTGTTATGGCACCTATTTCTGTATCTATAACCGTGGAATTCGATAATTACACTTGAAAAAGTTAAAGTGTAATAAGTACTTGTCACAAGACATTTCATTTCATCGTTACTGCAGAATAATTCAGTAAGTATGACATTTTATAAAAGTAATTAAAAGGAAAGGAATAAATAATTCATAAATGAATAAATCAAAATTTAGTAAATTATTTAACATTACTTTATTTGCTAATAAATTAGTACGGAATCACCGAGTTTACGTATTGTACAAATTCACTGTGACGTTTAAATTTCATGATAAAACTTCTTTTTCAATTACAACGTTATATTTTTGTCTGTTGTTTAAAAAAATTTTTCTAATCGAAAAAAAAATTAATAAATTAATAGTACCGATTACAGGAACAGCGCGCAGAGTGCTTTCACTTTGTTTCTATTCTACACGCTCAATACATCCAAAAATTCATTATAAACATTCTTTCTCGGCAAATACTTTTATTTTTATATAAAGTTTTCAAGTTTCGCAGGGATACATGCTTACCGATCCCACATTTACGATTCTCGTTTGTACGGCGCAAATGTAAATTAATATATTACAACTAATAACGTGTCTTTAATTTTTACTGTCAACTTTCTTACGTACGTAAACTCACTCGAATTTACCAGTCTTTCCTCACCAAAGCTTTAACACACTTAATCTCGTTACGACACTAGTAATAGTACAAACGAAGACGTTATTAAATAAAAAATCGTATTCGTAATGTGATCCACCATTCGAATCTTGTTTACTTCTTATACACAGCCAACGAATTTGAAAAACAATTTTTCGTTTTTTTTATTTGTTTGCTTTTATGTGACTGAAAGATCTCAAATTCGAGACCTTACCGAGAAATCTTTGGTGATAAAGATACTCGTTTTTTATCAGTCATTTGGTGTCTATGGATTCTCTCATTTTTTTTTCTTTTAACCTTAAATATTGCACTGTTTTACGCTAGAGCCTTGCTGACTGTAGAACAAGATATAAGCATTGCTGAAGTCCTCTTCTTGTGGTTTTTGTTTACTAGTCATTTCGTCATTGTAGTAATGCCAGACATCCATTTGGGGGTTCTTGGCATAGGCTGTGTAATGTCCAGCAGATACGCCTACAAATAAAACAATGAGTCACTAAAACACACCATAAATAATTATTGTAGCAAATAAATTAGTTCCTTACCTCCAAAGTGACAGACACACGCATACAGGTCATACAGATGTTTTCCACAATTCAAGCCAACCAAAGGAAAGGTCACTTTATTGTCCAGCTTCATGCTCAAGCATTCATAAAATACAAATCTGAAAAATATCTCTAGTTGTTAAATATCTCAATGCTAAACATAATTGTTTTTTTTTTTTTTTATTATCAAAATGCAGGTAATGTACAAACCTTTTGAGGTAGACTATGAGGAACTTGGGGTACCGATGAACATTTAATGTTTTAGTAGCACACTGATTTTTCTCACATTTAGGACAGTACCAAGGATTGTGCTCATCTAGCGTTTCGCTGAAAACAAATCCAAATATTCGAAACATTATCGACTTTCCATGTATAATTGATGATAATAAAGAATCGTCCTGAGTCACAATGTTTTTTAATTAATATGTACCTTTGACTAAATGCTTGTAGACAATCATAAAGCGACAGTGGATGCTGTGGTCTCTGCTTACTAACGCTAATGTGATCAACGGGCTGCGGAACCTTAGGAATGCGGTCGACATACCTAACAGCTAGAGTATCGCCGGTCTGTAAAATGACTTTGCCGCTCTTCGGCACTTCGCAGCCGGTACAATGAGAGCTATATATGCAACGCGAGCAGGTGTTACCCTGAAAATAAAACAAACAAAAATTGTTTAACTTGGAGTAATAAAAGCACAAATAAAGTTTTCCTTTAAGTAACACAATAACGTACTTGTCCACCAACGAAACGTAGAGTGTACGTTGAATCCCGGGGCACAATTCGTGCGACCATATCCCAAATGTGCTTGGCGTCGACACGTGACGGTAGCTTCAGGACGTGTAGATCTCCAAATAGTTTCATGCTTTTGCGATTGTTGGTGGCTTCGTTGGTATCGTGGCGTAGCACAAGGGGTATGTTGAGCAAACGGACAGCTGGCCTTGAGCGTTGACCAGTTTCGTCCAGCTTGGCAAAGGGGGCTGCCGTCAATTCGGCCGAACAGACAGGACACTTTTTCGGTTTGTTTCCGCTCTTGAAGTAATCCTGTGGGGTAATACCACTGCTCTCTCACTTTCTTGTGCTTACAGTTTATTTCACAAATGCTGTCTCGAATTTCTTATTACGTGCATTAGCAGCACGTTTTCGTTAGAAACATATTCGCTACGTGCACAAGCTGAAAAAGCGATCGCAGCAATACCTGTGCTAATATGTGAAACTAAACGATAGGTTTGTCTTCTGCTAGCAGACTGCTAAGCATTACTATCATCAGAAAGTTATGTGTTTATTCGCTCCGAGCCGATGCAGAGGTTGCGCTCCCTCTAGCCAAAAACAGGCAACATTTCTTGCATGTAAACAAACGGTTTAGAACATATATACATACGTACAGCTGCTTGTGATTGGCACTTGGCAAGCTAGAGAGAGAACGACGATCCTCTCCTGCTGTCTTATTCAGCCAATCACAAGCAGCTATACGCATGTATATATGTTCTAAACCGTTTGTTTACATGCAAGAAATGTTGCCTGATTTTGGCTAGAGGGGGCGCAACCTCTGTATCGGCTCGGAGCGAATA